GGTCCTTATATGGGAGTTGTGACCAATTATGGACCGATCAGGAAAAAGTTTCGTATAATGATTTATATAAAAAAAAACAAAAAATCAAGTGGAATTTTATTCCAATAGATTTATTAATTAATGAAATATCTGCGTTTAAGTGATTTTCGGAAATGGACTTTATTTAGGAGCTATGACCAATTACGGCCATCTCCGGAAAAATTTCTTAGAGTGATTCATATTTAAACAAAACATATTTGTGTCGAATTTTATCAAGTTAGCTTTATTTGATAATGAAATATGTGCGTTAAAGTGATTGTTTGAAGTGGACCTTATGCACCGATCCGGAAAAAATTTGGTAGTATGATTTCTATGCAACCAAACATATTCAAGTCGTACTTTGTCTTGATAGCTTTATTATTAAAAGAAATATATGCATTTAAGTGATTTTTGGAAGTGGACCTTATATGGGTGCTATGACCAGTTAAAGACCTGTCCGGAGAAAATTTTGTAGAGTGATTTATATATAGACAAAACCTATTTGTATCGAATTTTATCGAGATAGCTTTATTTGACAATGAAATATGTGCGTTTGCGGACTCGAATTTTATCACAATAGCTTTAGTTATCAATGAAATATTTGGATTTGGGTGATTTTCGGAATTGGACCTTATATGGGAGCTATGACCAATTATGGACCGACTGAGATCTACGTCGGTAGCACGATTTCTATTCACTTTATATCTGTGTGTACAAAATCTTGTGTTGCTATCGATGTAGTTGAGCGAGTTATTAACGATAATCTACTTTCCGGGAATATATACCTTTGTATGGGAGCTATGGGAAATATTGGATCAATTGTTATGATTTTTAACATACTTGATCCCTGGCAAAAAAAAACGTGTGACAAAATTTATCCAAATATCTTTGGTAGTTTCTGAGAAAAAAAACGTAATTTTTTTCGAGGTAGTCTGAAATTTTTACTCATAACTTTTTACGTTACATAACTCATTACAAAATTAAGATATTCATATAAAATTTAGTACAAGTATTGCTCATATGCATAAAAATATTACTGAGACATTTTTTCTAGATCGGTCCATAACTGGACATAGCTCGCATACAAGGTCCCCTCCCGAAAATCACTTAAACGCACATAATTCATTACTAAATTAAGATATCCATATAAAATTTGGTACAAGTATTGCACGTATACAGAAATATTACTGTGAAATTTTTTTTCCGATCAGAATTGGTCATAGCTCCCAAACAAGGTCCCCTCCAGAAAATCACTTAAATGCACAATATTCATTTCCAAATAATGATATAGATACAGAATTTTGAAATTTTGTCTTTATATACATAATTGGTAATAGCTCCCATACAAGGTCCTTTTACGAAAATCCCTTAAACGCACATTACTCATTACCAAATAAAGCTTTTGAGACAAAATTTGGCACAAATATTAGTTTTGTATACAAAAATTCTATTTCAAGATTTTTTCACGTCCGGTTCATACAAAGTTCCCTTCAGAAAATCACTTAATCACACATTACTTATTACTAAATTGCGATATAGATACAAAATTTTACTGAAATATAGCTTTTATGTACAGAAATTTTGCTTAAAGACTTTTTTACGATCGGTCTATAATTGGTCATATATCCCATACTAGGTCCTGCCCCAAAACCGTATTTAACTAGTTGCATTATCAATTTGTATAGAATAAAATTTTATATATGTATTTTAAAAATCCTTAAATCTTTCACACACATGCATACATGCAAATTACTAAATATCGCTAAAGCATATCTTAGGGCGCTATAAAAATATAAAAGAAAATATCGTTTGTATTGTTCAATAAATCTTGGAATTGTAATAGATTTAAGCTGTTTAAATCTGAGGTTTTTCTATTTAAGACATGAGAAAACTTATTTCTACAAATATTTGATCAATTAGAAAAGTATTAATATAAATGTAGCTGGTGGAGGGTATTTAAGAGTCGGCTCAGTCGAATATAGCACTGTAACTTGTTATATATAAATCGTTATACGAAATTTTACTTCTGAAAATCACTTAATACTTAATAAAATTCGACATGAATATGTTCTGTGTATAGGTTAATCTTTCTATTAAATTGTTTTCGAACTGGCCTATTAATATACATTTTTCTGGACCTAATCCAAAATTAGTTCCACATATGCATACATAGATGTTAGTAGCCTCACTACGGAAACAAAATTTTTGTCAAGTTATCTAAAAATAAGATAGTTCAATGGGTTTTAATAAAAAGTAGCTTGCTGGTGGAGGGTATTTAAGATTCGGCATAGCCGAATATAGCACTCTAACTTGTTTAAGAATTATAAGGTTTTTTACAACCATTCCAAAAAGGTACAAATTCTTGAGAGTTACGAAAATTTTACAAAAAATATATTTCTGTTTCAATTAAAGGAAAACAAATTGGTAATTTTTAAGAGACATAAAATTTACGTTTAAAAAATATGAATTTAATTTCCTGATTCTGTTTAAAATAGCATTCAGAGCATATCACTTTGACATGTTCTAAACGAAATATTTTTGTATAAGAATTATAGTTCTAAATGCTGACTGGATACATCTATAATCATAAAATGTTCTATTATATCATTCTAAGTTGACACTGCCCACTAACAATTAAAAATTTTCTTTTTTATCTTCTTTATATGAAAATACACCATGTTCATACGAAAACATGAATATGAACATGTGAAAATATACAAAATTAACGTAGAAAAGAAAATTATTTAAAAATCTTTCTTGAGCAAAATTGTTGTACCCGCATCGGTCTCACAGACCGAAAATCTCTGAAAAAGCATACCAGAAATGTTTGCAGGGACTTTTTAACTATATTTAAATGAAGCTTACATCAAATCATGAAGATATATATTAGCGTCAATAAAAAAATCACAATTTTTAAAAATCGGTCTCACAGACCAACGCGGTGGTATAGGAAGGTTAAATAAGCAACAACAACACTGCTTATTGGAAAAAGATTATTTTTGGATTTATGTATGTATGTTGGTTGCATTGCGTTGTGTATTTTGTTTCGTATGTTTGTATGTCTGCTAATTTCATTGCGTTGTTTTTGTTTCTTTTGTTTTGCTATTGGCAAAGTAATGACAGAGACGGGAAAATTATATTAATTAAAATTTTATAAAATTAATATTTTTTAAATATGTACACTATGGTGAAGGGTATATAAGATTCGGCAAAGGCGAATATAGACTTCTTACTTGTTATACCCACCATCAAAAAAGATCGAGGGTATATTGATTTTGTCATTCCGTTTGTAACATATCGAAATATTGGTCGTAGACCCACGAAAGAATTTATTCTGGGTCTTTATTAAATTCTAAGACGATCTAGCCATGTCTGTCCGTCTGTCTGTTGAAAGCACGATAGAGTCCGAACGGAACGAGATAGAAATTGAAAATTTCCACAAATATTCTCTATAGATTTGTTTGGTATTGAAATTGGGCAATTTCGGTTCACGTTTTCGGTGGTCCACTTGTATGGGGGCTATACAAGTGGACCACCGAAAAACAGCTTTAATGGGCATATCTGTTTCAAAAGTACGAGTATAGCGATGAAATTCAACATAAATAAGTTTCATGTGATCCAAAACCTCCCTACTAAATTTTATGAGGATTGGTCCATAATTGACCATACCCCCCATAAGGCCCCCTTCAGAAAATTACTCTAACGCTCATTATTGGCTTAAAAATACGAGAATAGTGATGAAATTCGACACACATAAGTTTCAATGTAGCCAAGATCTCTCTATCAAGTTTTATGTGGATCGCTCCATAATTGACCCTACCCCCCCATATAAGACCCCCTTCATAAAATTACTCTAACGCTCATTACTGGCTTAAAAATACGAGTATAGTGATGAAATTCGACACACATAAGTTTCAATGTAGCCAAAATCCATCTATTAAGTTTTATGTTGATCGGTTCATAATTGACCTATCCCCCATATAAGGTCCCCTTCAGAATATGACTTTAATGCTCATTTCTTAAAAATACGAGTATTGTGATGAAATTCGACGCACATAAGTTTCAAAGAAGCCAAAATCTTTCTATCAAACTTTATGTTGATCGGTCCATAATTGACCCTACTCCCTATATAAGGTGCCCTTAAAAAAATTACTTAAATGATCATTACTGGCTCAAAAATACCAGAAAAGCGATGAAGTTCGACACACATATGTTTTATACGAGTTAAAACCTCTCTACCAAATGAATTGAGGATCGGTGCATAAGAAAATTACTTTAACGATCTTTGCTGACGTAAAAATACGTGAGAAGTTACGAAATTTTATATAAGAAACATTTATAGGAACGTAAATCTTCTTACCGAATTTCATGCGGAAAGTGTCGGAAGTGATATTCGATGTAAAGATGTTTTGTATGAACCAAAATTGGTCTAAAAACGTATTATGAAAAATGGTCAACTATTAACCCTATCTCTCATATAAGGTCATCTTCAGTTAATTTGATGAGTAATATCACCCTGATGTTTGTAGGGGAGCATTCCTTTTAAGACATACCGTTTGATGGTGGGTATATGAGATTCGGCACAGCCGAATATAACACTGTCACTTGTTTTTTAATGATTTTGTAATTTTTAAATTTTTATGGCTCCACAAATAATAATTTTGGGAAAACAATAAAATATGATCAGTTGTTTGTTTTAATTACGTGCGAATGAAGTGCTGCTTATGTTATTTCGTAAGTTGGAAAACAAGGTTGCCAGATAAAGTTCACAATGTTTTTCTCAATAAGAACAGAGTACTGCTTTTGCGAAATTATTTCCCAAATATTTTCTACAAAATATTTCATATGTAGTTTTCGCACGAAATTTTGAACAGAGTACCTAGCTTATGGGTTTAAAAAAATACATATGCTTCTAAAGAAGTACAAAATTATATTGTGCTTATCAATCATATATACTTTAATTAGATTTTTTATTTTCACAGACCGTTGCATCAAACTCAAGGTTATCATATCTACCATGCAACCCAGGAAGAACATCAAAAATTATTGCTTGAACAGCAAAACCAACCAGCACTGGGTCAAGATATATTTGGAGTTAACGCCATTCTGAGTAATACAGATAAATATTTCAGTCATAATATTGAATGCCGTAATGATGGAGGAGATACTTACAAACACCAACTCTTCAATACGCGTCAACAGGCGGAACAACACTTAAATATCAGTCGACAACATCCACATGCAACAAGATCTGATATATCATCTGATGAAGTATCGAATCATATATACATCCAACATAATGGTCACGAAATTGATGTTAAGTATACTCCCCCCCACAAAACTATTTACAATTTCGAAACACAAAACTTGAATAAACCTGATGTTAATCACCGAAACAAAAGATCAGCTGATATCAGTTTCTCAAACACACACAAAACTGTTAATTCGAAAGAAGAAGGTTCCGGCATTGTGGATTGTGATCGAGAGGATATTAAGCGGAAACGTAAGAAATGTCATATGTCTTCTATGGATTACGATGATGTTGAGATCAAAGCAGAGGCAGATTCAGAATCAGAATTAAGAAACATTGATATACCTTTGCGTAATAAATCATACTAACAAAAATTCTTGAAAATAAGTTAAGCAAGTGTATTAAAACATTAAATAAATATATTTACATATATAAGGATAATTCTAAAGGATATGAAAAATTGGCAATGCAAAAATTGTAATAAAATTTTAGTTTAAGAGAAATATATTAAAATTATAATAAATACAACTTCCCATTAACAATACTCAACTATAGAAAGAAAGATTTTTACTTATTAACCCAGCAACAAATAATTGATGTCATACTTTACAAACAACATCTTAATCACATCTAAAAATGCGATTTCATATTTTTCGCTTTTATAAACCAAATATTTAATTACAAATGACACCCACATAAAAGAAGAATGAAATGTAGAAAAGTCACTATAAACAACATATTCGAAGTACATCAAATTTTGGTGAAAGACTAACGAAATTTACATAAGCGTGTCATTGAAAGAATGTGGTTTATTTTTGACATCCAAATATCGGATTTTTTCTGTTTCTAAAAATAAGATTCAATTCAAAGTTGTCAAAAATGGACAACATCCCTCCAATGACACGCTAATGTAAAATTCATATGTTTTTCACCCGAATTTGAAGTACTTCGGGTTACTAGTAGTAATGAAAATACTACATCTTTTTCCTCACTTTTTTTGCTGGGAACCACAAAAAGTACACAGAAAAAAATTAAATCAGTATTAGACATTTAATTTCATAAATTTGTAATTCTTTGCCATTTTTTATTAAAATGTATGTATTATGTTTTAAAACATGATTTGAATCTCATACATAAAAATATAATATGCGTAATTGTACATTTAAGGAACACAAATAATATAATTTTTAGTCAAGTAAAATATCATATTAAATAACCATATAAAAATTTTAGACACTCAAACATTATTAATAAACATAAAAATAATAGAGTAGTATTTCTTTTAATTTAAAAATTGTAATTGTAAATTTTATTTTGAATATGTTTGTAAACAAAATGATTGACTATTAGAAACTCCATCATTCAAACAATTTGAAACAGATTATATACTGCTGTAATTAAATGCACCATTGCTAATTTTACATCATCAAAATAAAGAAAATCGAAACGGAAAATTCAAAAAGAACTAACCACCTCGATCAGATTTTATTTTTTTACAGGAATTTTAGGAATCTGTTACTCATTTATAAATATATATATGCTGCGTGTAGCGTTCGAAAAGTAAAGAGAATTTTCTTCTATCTGTACTGACTATTAATTTGAAGAATTTACTTTTCAGAAGTGTATTGAAATAATTCCAGAATTATCACCTCGATATAAAATTTGCCAGGATATTGAATCGAATAGATTAAGACGAATTTTATTTTAGATGTATAATACATACATCTGGATTAAGAATAAAACTTCTTACCAAATGTTCTTTTTGTAAATGTCTAAAAGGGAATGTATTTTATTTAACAAACAAATTTGAGTAAAGGGTAAATATCGTAACTTAAACTACATTTTTAATAACTACAAATATATAAACAACGCCATCTATATTTCAAATACAATTTAATTCAGGTTAACAATTTTGATTTAAATATAATTCAATAATTCAGGTTTAACGTTAACATTCCGGGCCCCTTGATGGGTATCATCAAAAATTAGAAAATAAGTGAACATAAGTATAAAATTTTGTACTATATAATTCAGTATTAATTCATTTCATAGTACAAATGCAAAATTTACTAATATTTAAGAAAGTTATAATACACTTCAAAATATAATGTATTAAGTAATTTACAATAGTTATAAACAATATTATTTTAAATTTATATCAATTACATGGTACAATTTCCTGATAAAATCCATCCAAACGAAGAATTTTGTGCCACAGGCAATCCATCAAGATTAGGTAGAATTCCATTTCGAATCACCTTTGGGTAAAAATCCGACCCCATTACCATAGATACAGAGTTAGATTCATAAAATGTAGGATCGGCTAAAACTAAGTTTGTGAATTTTTCTCGCATCGTTGTAGATAGGGATTTTGTGGGCGTTTTCATCTTAATGCGGTTATCCACATGAGCTATTACCATAATAGAATATGTTTTATCAGACTGAGAACGTAATTTGACATTACAAATTAAAGATCCATCGACATTTTTTGTTTTTATTCCAAGTTTTGCAACAATGTCTTTAGAGATACGACTTATTCTTGATCCACTGTCAAACAAAATACGTATTGGGTGTAGACGATTATTCAATGAAATTTTTGCCAACGCAGCGGGTAAGATTGTTATGGCTGATTGAGATAGGATAACGTTGTTCGAGTTATCACTGGACTGTAGAAGACATTGTTGAGTTCTCTGGTCATTACTAATATGGAGTAAAGTATGGTGATGGCGTTTACAGATATGACAACCGGTTTTTGAAAAACAAATTTCATGTGAATGTTAATGCAGTTAATGCAATATTGTAAATTTCTGGCAGTAATTCTTCTTTTGTTGACATCCATGGATAAAAAACGTTTGCACAAGCGAAGGGGATGAGTCCTTTTACATAGGCGACATTGGAATTTCTTTTTGGATGTCATATTTTCTTTTTTAAAGGAATTGCGGTTTTTTACAATCCGAGGCATTCTGAAAATGAATATAAAAGAAATGGGAAAATAGAGAAAAGGCAAAGAGAAGAGTGGACTCTGTTATTGTGTCGGAAGAAGAACGAGTTTAATTATTGCCCTCTTTATGATACTGTTTTGTGTATAAACCTCAGCTATGCGTACTTTTTCATCTTTTCCTGGATATACCTTGATTACCTACCTAATCTCCATTCATTTGGAGGAAGATTTTCATCACGAATAACTACAATGGAATCAATGTCTATATTCTTCTCAGGGAATTTCCATTTATTTCTTTTATGAAGTTCTGAAAGGTATTCGTTCTTCCATCGTTGACAAAATTGATGTTGAAGAACTTTAACACGTTGCCATCGATTAATAACAGAGCTAGTCTGTAATGTGGGATCGATTGATGGTTCAGGTAAGGCCAATATTGGTAATCCTGTGAGAAAATGTCGTGGCGTTAGAGGATTCAAATCACTTGGATTCTCTGATATAGAAGAAATAGGGCGTGAGTTAAGACATGCCTGAATTTTGGATAATAAAGTGGAGAACTCTTCGAACGTAAATTTGAGTGAAGCAGATACTTTTTTAAGGTGTGACTTGAAACTTTTCACACCTGCCTCCCACAATCCCCCCATGTGTGGTGCGCCAGGCGGAATGAAATGCCATGTCAGGTTCTGGTGAAGAAAATTAGATTCAATTTCTGAACGAGCGGAATTTAAGAAATTCCTTTCGATTTCTTTCGATGCGCCGACAAAATTTTATCCATTGTCAGAGTAAACCTTGAATGGACAGCCTCTTCGAGATATGAAACGATGAAATGCTGCGATAAACGTACTAGTAGATAAAGATGAAACGGCTTCCAAATGAATTGCCTTTGTAGAAAAACATACAAAGACACATACATAGCCCTTTGTAATTCTATTTCCTCTACCAGTAATATTTTTTATTTCGAATGGGCCTGCGAAATCTACGGAAATTTTTCGTCATAAGTTAATGTATTCGAATAAGCTAATCTACCATGAGCACGAATTATATCCTTTTCATCCAAAAATGGGTTCAAATTGAGACTTGTGGATGATTTCGGAATTTCAGTTTTCTGAAGCAATGCCTTATACGTATCAGCAAATGCAAACTTCTGAGCTAGAATAATCCTTCCTGGGATGTTAAGTTTCTTGTTTTGTAAGAAACAAGACTGGGATTTGATCGACTGTTATGAATAAATCGAAATACATAACATAATACACGAACAGCTCTATTGAATGACGAAAACCTATTTAAGACATCATCATATTGAGAAAAATATGAAAAGTTAACGAAAACGCCTTTCAATTCCAGATTGGTCTCGAAATTGTCTTTTGTATTTGGCCAAAAATTCTTTGGCTTAGACAGCCATTCTGGACCGTGCCACCACAAACGGTTGTCAATCGATTCTTTAGGATATAACCCTCGGCTTTATAGATCAGCTGGATTAGATTTAGAGTCTACATGGAACCAGTTTTCTGAGCCTACTTTCTTTACCATTTTGAAATTCGATTTGCTACAAATGTTTTCCAATAGCAAGGGTCCTTTTTAAGCCAAGCTAAAACAATGGTAGAATCGGTCCATTTGTATAGCTCGAATTTAGAAATATTTAATGATGGTATAATAGAATGTACCATTTTATATTGTGGTGAATAGGAATTCCATCGGGGTATTTGAATATAATCAATCATTGGATAGTTTATTAAGAAATTTCTCCAACTTTCGAGGCAATTAGGAGTTAATGTATCATCCCAATGTATTTTAGAGAACCAAATTTGTCTCATTAATATTTTTGCTAGAATAACTACAGGTGCTAACCAGCCCGCAGGATCAAATATCTTAGAAATTTCTGATAGCACTTCTCTTTTTGTAAAAAAGCTGAGTTTGAAGTCCATTTCCTTAACGTGCTGAGCTTAAGGCTGAAATAAGTTCATCTCTTGTTTGAATAGCCGTGTTTAAATCATGAGTTCCTGCAATGACGTCATCAACGTACATTGAATGTTGTAAGACCTGGCTAGCTAAAGGATGAGAATCTTTTACATCAGTTGCTAGTTGAAGAAGTGTTCTGATTGCTAGATATGGTGCACAATTTACACCAAATGTGACCGTATTTAGTTCGAAATCTTGAATATTTTCGGATGGAGAAGCCCTGAACAAAATTCTTTGATAACGTGTATATTTTGGATTAACCTTTATTTGCCGATACATTTTTTCAATATCGGCGTTAAAAACAAACTGATAAAGCGCCATTTCAGCAATAGAATTGTTAAATCACTTTGTAAAATAGGACCTGTATGTAAGACATTATTTAAAGAATGTCCCGAGGTAGTGGGACATGATGCATTATGACATGACGTATCTTTGTTGTTGTTCGTTCAGGTTTTATTACCGCGTGGTGTGGAAGATAGTAATAAGGTGGAAAATTTTCTGGTAAAGGTGAACTTATTGGTCTCATATGATCCAGCTGAATATATTCGTGAATAACTGAATCATATTTATCTTTCTGTTCAATATTCTTCAATAAACGCATTTCGTTCTTAAGAAATTGAGAATATGCTTTATTCCTTGATTGCCCAAGTTGTATGGATTTATTATGGAATGAGTCTTTAAATGGCAATGATACTATGTATCTACCGTCGCTATCCCTTTTAGTAGTTTCGGTGTATAATTTTTCGCAAAATTCATCTTCTGGAAAACTTAATGTATTTAATGGAATATCTTCCAATTCCCAAAAACGTTTTAATTGTTTTTCCAAATTGTCTTCATCAAATAAGGTGACAAAAGATGATAAGGACATTTTCGTTTTATTAGAATGGACA